GAACTTGCTGGGGATGAGCTGCCTGCTAGGAGCAAACAGCAAGAGCTCCTTGATTCCCAGCCAGGCCCTTTGCCATTATTCTAATGGAAGTGCAGCTCACACCTGCACTGATGGAGCTGGCTGGGGAGCAGCTTTTGGAGGGGATAACATGGCTTTATTGCAAAGGAAGGGACAGGTTGGGGAAGATGAAACAGGAAAGCCTTATCAATATGATTGCCTGGCAGAAGATTTGGAGAATATGGAAACTATCAGTGAGATTGAAATGAAAGCAAGCTCTAAGATCCCTCAGTTACTGAACAACAGGAAAACACTGGTGTGGCTGCTGAAGGTGATCCCCTTTTGATGGAACAACACCCTCTGCTTGCAGACAGCCCCAAGGGGCAGAGCAGACCCTACAGCTTGGCAGAAGGGGCCCAAAGAGGAGTTTTTAGGGTTTAAAATGTAACACAGGATGGTGATGTAATGTGGTTTAACTCTCCTTACAAGGTTAAATATAAAGTTTGTACACAAAAAAATTAGAGACAATGGCAAGCAAGTGGTTTTCAGAGCCCTGGATGAGGGGGACACAGAGGTTCTGGGGCTCTGAGCAGGCTGCAGGCTTGGCCTTGCTTTCCAAGGCTTGGAGAGGAAAGAGCTTGTTTAAAATGTAACACAGGATGGTGATGTAATGATTCTTATAGGCTGCATGTAAATGCTGTAGGATTTGTGTCTTGGACTAGATTGGTCAGTGAGAATTAGAATATTCAACACAGAAGATTTATGGTGTTGTAATGGGAACCTCACTCTCTCTTTACCTTTTTATGCTCTTACCTTTTTTACTCTCTCACCCTCTCATCCTCTCTCCCCTCTCTTCTCTCAGGCCTGCTCTGAGCTGTGGCTGGCAGCTCCCAGCAGGGCCCTGCACCCAGGCCCTTTGCAATAAACCCCAAATTCCAAGACCAGAAGAAGATTTATTGTATTGTAACAGGAACCTCGCCCTCTGATCCTCTCTTTTACTCTCTCATTCTCTCTTTACCACACTCTTTCCTTCTTTCTCTTTACCTCTTTCTCCCTCTCTCAGGCCTGCTCCAGCTGTGCCTGGCAGCTCCCAGCAGGGCCCTGCACCCAGGCCCTTTGCAATAAACCCCAAATTCCACAACCAGAAGAAGATTTATTGTATTGTAACGGGAACCTCGCTCTCTCGTCCTCTTTACCACTCTCCTGCCTTCTCTCTACCACTCTCTTTATCTCTCTCTCCCTCTCTCGGGCCTGCTCCCAGCTGTGCCTGGCAGCTCCCAGCAGGGCCCTGCACCCAGGCCCTTTGCAATAAACCCCAAATTCCAGCCCTGGCTGCAGAGATCTGTTGTCCCCTCCCTGGGGCTGGGAGGGCACAGGGAAGTGCTGGAGGGGCTGGGGAGGGAGCAGGAGGAATCCTGCCAGGCCAGGGAGAGGCTGAGCAGAGCCAGGCACGTCTCTCACTGACGTCTGCCACAGCACAGAGCCTACAACCACCTCCTTGCAAGAAAAAGAAACACAGAGAATTCACTATTCCTTCTTACATTAAAATCACTGCCTCCTACATTCACATCACTGCTGTCAGAAACATCTTGATTTTCCACACCTAAGGGGCTATGGAAAAAAACAAGCATTTCTGCTAAAAATAAGGGTTTTTTCCCCCCCACAAGCTGTATTTATTCAGATCTCTTTTCCTCTAAAACGCAGCATTATTTTAATTTTAATTTAATCCCATATCTGCATAATTGCAGCACTGCCAAACAAACAAATCACAGTCTCTGGGAAGCAGGAGCAATGCAAAACGTGGATTTAACCAAATTCAATTCCAAGCATTTTCCTGTGAGCATTCCCTCACAGAAGAGCCACACTTCTGACTGAAACGTCCACATTTTCATCACTACAAGCATCTCCCCTTCAAACCAATTTTACATCAGAGGATTGATATTACAGTCAGATCCAGCTCTGAGAGAGCACTTAGGAAATCAGTGCCAGCCCCTCCTGAAACCATCCCCTGCTCTGCTGATTGATTTGCTCTGAGTTTCTTGGTGTGCTGCTTGTGGGGAAGCAGGGATGGGGTCCTGACAGTCCCATCCCTTACCCAAAGCTGTCCTGGATGGAGGTGATGCACAGGGAGTGCAGGCAGCCTGTTAGGAAAATGAACCCACAAACACCAGAGGTTTATGTCCAAACAGGAGACAGAGGAGTCCTTTGGCTTTATTCCAGTCAAGGGAGAGGCCATGGGGCATCCCCTGGGGTCTCTCCAAGTTTTGGAGGATGCAGCCTCCTTTTTATCCCAATTTCCAGCCACATTTCCCTTCTCTCTTTCCCCATTTCTGAGGTACTTGAGAGGTTCAGACTCCCCAACACACCTGATACCAGAGATTTCCCTCTAATGTACAACCCTCCCTTTTAATTTTGAATTCTTGAGGAATTTAGGGGGTTTTCCCCATTGGCTGAGGTACTTGAGAGGTTCAGACTTCCCCGAACACCTGATCCCAAAGATTCCCCTCTAATGTGTAACCCTCCCTTTTAATTTTGAATTCTTATGGAATTTAGGGGTTTTTCTTCCCCATTGTTTCTTTCATCTTTCAATGTCTAATTTCATTTCTCAGCAAACCTAAAGTTTATTTGTAAAAGAAAATCTCTTTTTCCATTCATCAATAAATTGAATCCTTCCCATTGTTTCTTTTCTCTCCCAGTGCTGGTTTTATCCACCAGCAGAGCCACAGCTGGTTTGGAAAGACAAATCCACCATTCCTCTCAAGCCCAAAGCACACCCAGGATTTACAGAGTTCGGGATGATTCCTGCAGGGAGCAGGGCTGCAACAAGATCAGCTTTAAGGGACCTTAAATCTCCCTCCTCTGGTTTTCTGTCTTTGTCGCCCCAAACCATGCTGGGATTCTGTGAGGGAATTGAAGAGCAATTGGTTTGGAAATCTCCCCGTGGTTTGGAAATCTCCCCGTGGTTTGGAAATCTCCCTGTGGTTCAGGATGTCTGGAGCTGCTGCAGCCCAGGGATGCTCAGAGTCATTCCACAACTCCCTACCAACATCAGAACACCACCCTGCTCACCCAGGCAGCTCTGGGTACCTTAAAACCATAATTTTTGAGGCATAACAACAATTTTGATCTTTTGGAATCGAAACGAGCTGTTTAGGAGGTTCCTGCCCTGCTGCTGCTGCCATGCCCTGCCAGGAGCTGCCTGGGCTGTGAACTTTGGGTAAGAACGTGAGATAATCAGCTGCAGATTTATCAGCAGGGACAAAAGACTGAAATGGAGTTGAAAAAGGCAAAAGAAAAAAAAAAAGAAAGGGGAGGGGGGATGGAGATCCACGAATAATTTTAGAAATAAGCTGCAAGTTGCACAGTCACAAAGCGGAGGCTGGAATGCACTTTTCCAGAGTTTGTAAAGACTCATTTAATTTCTATAGAAACTGAGCAGCAAACAGGTAATTTTCTCTGCAAATTGCTTCTATCACCTCTGGAATGCTCTGCAAGAGCAATGTATTTCCCTCATGTCTTCTTAATCCCCTGTTATTTTCATTATAAATTTAATTAAGCTCTTGTAGAGAACATTCCATGACATACGAGCTGAGTTTTGTTTTTCTGCTGGAGCGGGGACAGAAAGGAGCTGCTGAATAAGTGGCAATTGGATTTCTTCTTTTCTGGGTAAATATTTCAAATGACACCAAGCAAGGGAGACATTTGCTGAATCAATACAGCTGAAGCTGAGGGAAGGAGCTGCACAGGAAGGTCTGAGCTTCCCAAGAATTCCTTCAGCCAGGCCTTTCCTCCTTGGAGAAAATTAGGGAATATCAAAAGCAGGTAATTCAGGGAAATGCCAAGATTTTTGGGGGTTTTTTTTGTGGTTGCAATAAAAAAAGTCAATTTTTTACACTCGCTGCAATCCAAAATGTCACCAGCATTTCATTTCATAACCTGCCCATCTCCCCACTTCACCAACAGCAAATGTTAAAAATGAATCATTTAATTACAATTTATTTTAAATGATATCTAAAGGCTCTGGTGCCAAAGCATAGTGAAAAATTGGGTTTGAATACAATACACATCAATACCCCCTTAAGTTAATATAAAATGAAAACTGCATTAGTAGAGGTTTGGCTTTTTAACCCTCTTTTTAACCCATTTAATCTCACGTTATCAGGCAACAACAGCTCCCCTGCAGAGCTGGGGTTGTTTGTTTCTATTTCAGCCTCTTCCCAGCTGAGGGCCATGACAAGTCACCCTCCCAGCAGGCACGTTTGGGGACTCAGGAGTCACAGCAGGGCTGTCAGAGCTGCACACCAGGGCTCTCACTGTCACCAGGGAATCAAATCCAGCAAGAAGATGTTTTTCACAGGACTGATCGAGCTCTGGAACATCTTTCTGAAGGAAACCAGGAATTATTTCCCCCCAGAGACACGACTCAAACCTTGACCTGCAAGCAGCCAGATCTCCTGTGTGATTATTCTGGAATTTCTGTTCCCCGAGCTGCATCCATTTCAATACTCTCTAGCAGTGATTTTTCCTCCCTGCCTTGTTTTATTTCATTCTTGTTACAGAAAGGAGATGTCAGGAAATCTGACACATTGCTGTGCCAGCAGCAGGTGAGAATCTCACGATTCAATTCCCACCTGTGCCAGGGCCATTTTACACCAATTTTCTCTGTAGGAAAACATGGAATGAAAGCAATAAAAGCTGTGTGTGCTGCGCACAGCTTCAGCACTGCCTGCATGAACAGGGGGTGCATAAATCCCTGCTCAGGAAGGATTCAGTAGGAAAGCACTGCCTAAAGTATCACCAAGCCAAAACATTCTACAAGCTTGGAAAAAAACTTGTCATCAAATAACTTCATTTTCTTTTACTCTCTGAGCATTCACGCTTAAAAACTTCCATTTAAAAAGGGCAAACATTTTCCTGCAATCAGCAGGGGACAGGACAAGGTGCTTTGAGGCATCACAGCTGATGTGGGAAAGCTCAAGCTGCAGATTTTAGAGCTGGTGAATTTACAGATCTGTCCTTCCTGGGATAAGCCTGGGGATCTTCACCTCGTTCAGAGTCCTGTTGCCAGCTTTGCTCCCCTCCTTGCCCTGGAGCAGGGTGATGATGTTCTCCCGCTGGTGCCTCACGGCCAGCTGCAGGGCCGTGCACCCCGTGATGTCCTCCACGTCCAGCAGGGCCCCCGCCTTCAGCAGGGTCTTGACGATGGCCATGTTGCCCTTGAGCACGGCCAGGTGCAGCGGGGTCCGGCCCACCTTGTTCCTGGCGTTGACGTCGGCCCGGCACTCCAGGAGGTTGATGACGCTGAGGAAGGAGCCCCTGAGCACGGCGAAGTGCAGGGGGGCCCAGCGGGACCTCTCGGCCGTGTTGGGGTCGGCCCCGCAGCGCAGCAGCTCGCTGACCACGGGCTCGTCCCCGTAGCGCGTGGCCAGGTGCAGCGGCGTCCAGTCCATGCCGCCCTTGGCGTCCAGCCGGGCGCGGCTGCCCTTCAGCAGCCGGATGATCTCGATGTGCCCCTTGAAGGAGGCCAGGTGCAGGGGGGTCCAGCCTTTGTCCGTCCTCAGCTCCACGTTGGCCCCGTACTTGATGAGTTTCTCACAGATCAGGTACTTGCCCCTGGCCACGGCCAGGTGCAGGGCGCTGTAGTGGTTCTGGTCCAGGCTGTTGACGGAGATGCCGTTCTTCAGCAGGTACTGCACCACCCTGAACTTGCCCCTCTCCACGGCCACGTGCAGCGGCGTCCTGAGGTTCTTCTGCTTCCTCTCCAGGTCGGCCCCCTGGCTGGCCAGCAGCTTGACCAGGCCGACGTGCCCGAAGCCCGCGGCCACGTGCAGGGCGGTCTTGCCGTCCACCTCCTGCGCGTTGGGGTCGGCCTGGCGGGACAGCAGCACCCGCGCCACGTTCTCAAAGTTGTTCTGGGCCGCCAGGTGCAGCGGGGTCCACCCGTCGCGCTCCTGGGCGTCGGCGCGGGCCCGGTGGTCCAGTAGCAGCCGCGCCGTGCGGTCGTCGCCGTGCTGGGCCGCGAAGTGCAGTGGGCTCCAGCCGTCCTCGTCGGCCGCGTCCACGTCGGCGCCGTGCTCGATGAGGAGGGCGCAGATGTCGGGGAGCCGGCGCTGCACGGCCAGCAGCAGCGGGGTGCAGCCACCGCCCGCCGCCGCGTTGGTGCCGGCCCCGCGGCCCAGCAGCGAGCGCACCTTGGCCGCGTGGCCCTGCAGCACCAGCAGGTGCAGCGGGGTCAGGCCGTTCTCCTGCACCCTGCCCAGCTCCTCGGGGCACAGCTCCTCGGGGCTGCCCGCCTCCCCCTGTGGAGGTGGGAGAGGAACCTCCTGCGGGTCCTTTCCTAAAGGCAGGGATGCAAAATGGGAGGAAAAGAGTGAAAAACGCCCAGGAAGGGAGGGAGAGCTTGTGGCTCTTGGTAGGACGACATGGAATGAAGTCATTTGAGAGATAAGGAATGTAAAATAAGGCCAGACATGCCCTGGGACATTTGGCCTCTCTCTCACAGTACCTATTTCCTGAATAGTTCATTTTTCTTAACTTAAACTTTTCCTTAACTTAAACTTTTCTTTAACTTTAACTTCTCCTTAACTTAAAATTTTCCTTACTTTAAAATGTCCCCCGCATGGAAAACCTTATGAGCCACATCCTTCTACAACAAAACAAACAACTTTTATAGCTTCCCCTTCTTTCATTTTCAATTCTAAAGCTGGTCCCCTACTTACCCCCACTTCTGGTGTCTCGAGGGAAGGTGAACTCCTCTTTGTCACCCTGGTTTTCAGAAAGGAGGAAAGGAAAAGGATAAAACAGAGTGTTTATTTGCATTCTGTAATGTTTGCACAAAGTCCTTTGATGCTGCTCTGCAGTTTTGTGTCATCATTTGAGAGTTTTTTATCCAATCCTGTTTTTGCACCCAAAACTCAGCTAAGCCAGTCATGACAGAGCAGGAATGGGGGAGCCTGAAGATGATCTCTGGATATCCATGAGCTTTTCCTCCTTGTGCTCATTTGCTCCCAAACACACACATATTCTGCTTCCTGACTGCATGGCAGCATCCCAAAGTGATTTCCGTTGTTGTTTAGGGACCCCCAAGCCCCTACTTCTTCAGGCCTCTGGTTTCTTGCACAGCTTGGCAAAACCCTCTGAATACCAATAATTCTCAACTCCTATCTCTCCCTGTTTTCTAGGCATAATTACTTCAGTTGCTGGGATTACATCGTGACTATCCAGGAGCCTGATTTTTTTCTTAGCCAGAGAAACATCGGGATTTCAAACTATTTAAAAAAAATTCTGTAAGAATTGTTCAAAGAGGAACATCCTCAGTTTTGTGCACAGAGAACCCTGTGATTCTGTGTTTGCTTGAGTTTCTTTTAGTGACTGAGGTCACCATGATAAACCCACTTCACCTGAGCAGGTCCAGAAAAGGGTTTTCCTCTTGGACTATTTATCATTCAGTGCATTTGTTAATTAATTTGCAAGTGTCTCATCCCCATAAATAAATTACAGAGGCACAGCCTGTGCAGACACCCTGTGAAGGTGCTGAGGGGCACCTTAGGGAGGGGAAGAGCCTCAAGGCCTGGTCAGAACAAGGAGCAGGCTCAGAGGAGTTTCCTGAGAGGCTTGGTGGGTTCTGCTCACCTGCTGGCTCCTGGAGAGGGCCGGTTTGTGGGACATCTTCCTGACCAGGCGCTCGTTCTCCGGGTCCTGCACCAGGCTCTGGATCAGAGCCAGCAGCACGTCTGTCTCCACAGGGATATCTGCCAGGGCAGAGCAGCTCAGCTGTGCAGGCTGCCCCAGCTCCAGAGCCAGGCAGGACCCACGTGGGAAGGGAGGGAGAAGGGATGAGGGGATGTGGGACAGCAAAAGGGTACCCAGCTGTTAAACCTCAGAGGTGGAACTGGGAAAACTGACACAAACCCTGCGTTTGTCACCCCATGGGGCTCACCCTTGGCTGATCCATGTTGGAACCCAGGAAATTCCTCTGGCTGCCCTGGAGGACTTGAGACCCTGGCAGGGGGCTCAGAGACCTTGGCATGGAGTCACAGACACCTGTGCCTTCGATTTTAGCCCATGGAAACAATTCCCTGCTTTGTGAGGAGTTACAAGCCACAGGGGTTTGAATAGAATGATAGTGAATTTATCACAGGGTGAAAATGTAGAATTTTGGGGTTTTTAGAATGGGGGTTCAGGGGAGCAAGATGGAGGAATCTGGGTGTTTCCAGTCTTTCTCCTTCTTCTTCTTGGCCTCCATCTTCTGCTGGGATGGTGGCACTTTTGGATTGGTTTAGAATAGAGATAGACTGTCTAACATAGGTGATAGGTATTGGGAAGTTATGGTAAATAATGTACACGTAGTTTTAAGTATAAAAAGATAACAACGCCCTGAGGGTGGTCAGAGTGCCATGAACCAGCGTGCTGGACAGATCTCAGCAGGTCAGAGAAAGAATGATAGAGGTAACAGAAAAGAAACAACCTTGAGAACAAGAGCCAAGGAATTCTGCCTTCTTCTTCGGTTTTGGGGCTGGGAAAAAGCAACTTTCCAACACCTCGGGGTCACACCAGAGACCCCGCCAGATCCACACCCCAGTCCCACCTGCAAAGCTGGGCCTTTGCTTGGGGTCCTGGTCCCAGCACCTCTTCATCAGGTCCACCATCTGGTGGCACTCCCCGGGCCAGTCGTCCCTGATGAGCTCCAGCCCTGGCCTCTTCCCCGCTGCCACCTTCACGATGATGGCCATCATGTTGGCCCCTGGAAAAATCCAGCACCTCTGGGTGTTCTGCCCGGGAAAAGGGCTGGGATGGACATTCCACGGGTGCAGGTTTGTGTTTACCTGTGTAAGGCTTTTTCTGCATGAGCACCTCCCAGATGACGATGCCGAAGCTGCGGGAGAGGAGAGACTGTGAGCACTTGGACATGAGATGCTCTTATTGCTTCTGCCTTCTGGAGAAATGGGGAGGTCAGGAGGGAGGTTGTTCAGGAGGGAAGGATTTCATCTTCCAGAGCAAAAGGATTTCATTCCCCAGGCCAAAAGGATCAGGCCTTGTGGTTCTGCCTCATGCATCTCCTTTAGAGTGGGGTCATCACCCTCCAAAGGGTCTGAGCAGGCACTTGGAGCCTCTGCTGCCAAAGTCAGTCTCTCAGTGCCTTTTTTCCACTTTATTCACACTGAGGTTTCGAGCCCTTGGCTCCTGCAAGTTCCTGTGGCCATGCAAACCCTCCTTTCCCTCTTCCCTCTACCCTCTGTGCTGCAAAGGCCACGGAGCTGAAGAATTTCCAGACATGGACTTGGGGCTCATGTGAATGTGCTGCAAAGCTCCTCACCCAAAAAGACAAAAGCCAAGCTGAAATCTCTTCTCTGCCTGTTCCTGACCAAAATGAAGGTGAAGACTGAGGCAGATAAGCCAATATTGGAATTGTTTTAAAAGCAATCTCAGCAGGGACTGTGATGAAAGAGCAGCACTGGCTGTTTGGGCTCTGCTGCCACTCATTTTTGGGAACAGGGTGTGATGGCACCTGGGGCAGAGGGTGCAGTGGGATGATGATTATCCACAGAGAACCCCCTCCCTCTCAGTCTCACCCCTGAGGTCGGGTACCCCACTGTGTTCCCCAACTTCTAAGAGGCAGAAAAGCAGAATTTAAACAAACTGAGGCAGTGTCCAGCCCCCCTTGCTGGGTGTGACAGCCCAGGGACACCCCTGGGTGCCCTGGGCCAGCCCTCACCTGTACACATCGTACTTGATCCCCGGGGGTTTGCTGTTCTGCAGGAACATTTCGGGGGGGATGTAGCTCAGGGTGCCCCTCAGAGCTGAGCTCTCGATGTACTGCATCCTGCTGGACTGCTCCATCCACTTGGACAGCCCAAAGTCGGAGATCTGCAAGAGGAACAGGGAAGCTGCCCTAAAATGCTCACGCTCTCCCCTCCTGCTGTCACCCAGACATCCCCATCTTTGGGATCAGGAGCAGCAGGAGGGGAGAGCAGCTGGAGCTTGACAAAACCCTGAGAACCTGCAGCCACTGAGTCCAGCTGGAGCCCTAAATCCCCAGAGCTGGCCCAGAGTCGCCGTGTGATGCTGAGAGCAGCGCGTGATTTGCTCAAAGCAGCTGCTTGTTAAACACCCCACAGGTCACTCTTTCACGGCTGCTCCTGCAGAACCTGATTTACTGGGGTAATTCTGTCTGGCAGGAATTGCCTGGCTCTGGTGTGAGCCGTGGCCGTACCTTGACGTGCATGTTCCCATCCAGGAGGACATTCCCTGGCTTCAGATCCAAGTGCAGCAGGGGAGGGCTCATGCTGTGCAGGAAATTCATGGCCAAGCCCATCTCATGGATCACCCTGAATTTCAGCTGCCAGGACATTCTGTGGGTGGGGAGGATTCTCTCCAAGGAGCCCCTGGCCATGTACTCCATCACTATCCCCAGGGGGCTGTTGCACACCCCGTAGATGGTGACAATGTGCTGGAATTTGATTTTCTCCATCTTGCTGGCCTCCTCCATTAGACAGTTCATGCTGGTCCTGGAAAATGGAAAATAAAAAATAAAAATAAAAAATAAAATAGAAATTAAAATCTAAAATTAAAATTAAAAACTAAAAAAATATTAAGAAATAAAAATAAAAATAGAAATAAAAATAATTAAAAATAAAAATAAAATTTAAAAAATCAAAGAAAAAATACAGTGGGAGCAAGAAATTTTGTCAGTTGATTCACAGCTCAGTAACTCTGTAGTAACTCAGTGACACCCAGCCTTTCTGAGCACTGCCTACCCCAAAAAGATTCGTCCCAAATTCCCCCTTGAGTTGATGGTAATGCTGCCACACAGGGATCTTTTGCAGATTAAAATCTGACATGGATGCTGTTGTGACTTCTCCAAATGAACTGAGGTTTATTATGTGGTTCATTCAGCCACCACAAAGAAAAGATGAAAAGCTTGCACTTGTTTCAATCCTTAGCAGTGAGGACAGAGAGCCTGTACTTGTCCCACTGCTGAAATGGCTTTAAACTGCCCCGGGGCAGGGTTAGATGGGGAGGAATCCTTCCCTGTGAGAGCGAGGAGGGGCTGGCATGGGATTCCCAGAGGCTGCCCCATCCCTGGAAGTGTCCAAGGCCAGGCTGGAGCAGCCTGGGACAGTGGAAAATGCCCCTGGCCACGGCAGAGAGGATTCAGATGGGCTTTAAGGCTGCTCCCAGCCCAAAGCACTCTGTGGTCCCATGACATTCCCAGTGTTTCCCTGGCCAGGAGCAGGCAGGGAGGATTCAGATGGGTTTTAGGGCTCCTCCCAAAGCACTCTGTGGTGCCATGACATTCCCGGTGTTTCCCTGGCCAGGGGCAGGCAGGGAGGATGGAGATGGGCTTTAAGGCTGCTCCCAGCCCAAAGCACTCTGTGGTCCCATGACATCCCCAGTGTTCCCTGGCCAGGAGCAGGCAGGGAGGATTCAGATGGGTTTTAGGGCTCCTCCCAAAGCACTCTGTGGTGCCATGACATCCCCAGTGTTCCCTGGCAGCAGGATGCCAGGGGCAGGCACAGCTCTGTGCCACACCTTGGCCACTCCTGCAGCTCCTCCTGTGCCTGCAGCTCTGTCCCTGGGCACGGTGACTGCTCCCAGGGGAGCTCAGGCATGGCTGCTGCTGGCTGCCAGCTCTGGCAGACCTGTTCCTCCAAATCCTCCCAAGGCTCACCCCTCCCGACCTGCTGAACGAGTTTGGGGGAGCAGCCAAGCAGCAAAGTGCCAGGAGTGCCTTTAAAAAGCACTCCCTGGGAATGGAGCTGAGCTGCCAGCAATTGGGCCAGGCCATTCATTGATCTAAAATGGTTCAGCCAAGCAAAATCTCCTCACAGTAAGACCCACCCGTGGGTTGAGGAATCTGGGGTATTTTACTACAATTGATAAGACACAGAATTAAAACTGATTATTTGACTCTTTTTTTCCCCGCCACAAACAAGAACAAAATGCAAATGTAGAATCTGCAGAGCAAACTGAGGGCAGTCAGTGCTCAGCCTGAACTCAGTTGTTGTCTGTAACAAGAAATCACAAGAGTGAGATTTTTATCCTGGCAGGATCCTTCCAAATTTGAGAGAATAAAATTTTAAATTAAATAAGTCCATCAACTCTGCTGTTTTTCCATCAGCTCTGCCTGTATTGGATGTGTTATCAGCAGTGGTTGTGATTACCTGGCCCTGCTCCATCTCCAGACTCAAGGTGGGCACCAGAGGAGTCTCTGCAGGTGAGAGACAGAGCAAGAAGCAGAGAGGAGCTGCAGGTGCCCCACGGAGAGGAAGGAGATGTCTGGAGGCTACAGGAGCAGGGCAGCAAGACCAGCTGTAAATCCTCTGCCCCTCATCTTTAAACCTGGTGATGAATTCAGTTTGATGGATACAGCTCAGCCCCAGTGTCCAGTGGCAGCTGTAAATAACCCACCAGGCTGCTTTAGTCTGTGTGTGAGGTGCTGAGCTCAGCCCCAGGCTTCAGCCCTGCTCTGTTCCCCATGTCCCTGTGCATCCACACAGGACAAGGAAAGGCAGAACTCCTATTCCCCATTCCCTCTGGGTACACAGCCCTTCCCAAGAGCTCCTTCTGCAGAGTTTTATCCCCCAATCCCTCCAGCTGGGACGGCCAGAGCTGCTCAGGGGTTACCTGTCCATGCTGGAGTCCTGCAGCAGGTACAGGGAGCACTTCCCTGCACAGACCATCTCCTGTGCTACACCTGGTACACCTGACCAATTCCCCACTCCCTCTGGGTACCCAGCCCTTCCCAAGGAGCTCCTTCTGCAGAGTTTCATCCCCCAATCCCTCCAGCTGGGAGGGCCAGAGCTGCTCAGGGGTTACCTGTCCACGCTGGAGTCCTGCAGCAGGTACGGGGAGCACTTCACGGCATAGACCGTCCTCCACCTCCTGTGCTTCACCTGGTACACGTGGCCAAAGCCCCCGCTGGCCACTCGCAGCCACTCATCCTCAAAATCCTCCTTGCTGAACACGGTCAGGCTGCCCAGCCTGCCCCGCTCCGTGCCCATGGCACAGCTGGCTCTGCCTGCCTGCTGGGGAGGCACAGGAGCTCCTCCTGCCCCGCCTGCCCTGCCCTGCCCTGCCCTGCCCTGCCCGGGGAGGTGGGGATCCACCCCAGGCAGCCCTGGCAGCCCCTGCCAAGAGGTGGATCCTCAGTGGGGCTGCTCACATATTCTGCTTTTCACTCAGGCTCAGCTCCAGCCTGGCAGCGTGGCTCTGCTCACTCATGTCCAGCACTGGGTGGGCAAATCCTCCAGGAATTCCAGGTGGGAATTGGTGCAGAGGACAAGCCTGCAGTGAGTTCAACAAGCCTGTGTGAATTCTACATATTCACACGTGGCTCAGCTCCAGCCTGGCAGTGTGGCTCTGCTCTCCCATATCCAGCCCTGGGTGGGCAAATCCTCCAAGAATTCCAGATGCAAAGGACAAGCCTTCAGTGAGTGCTCCGTGCTGAGGGTGGGATTCCTCACCTGGGGCATCGGCACAGCCTGGGGGAAAGGGAGCTGGGGACTGGGGCAGGGTGAGGCTTGGAGGGAGCAGAGAAATCCACTAGGCAGAATTGTACATGAGAGATGTGGAAAACACTCCAGAGAGAATAGAAGGGGGAAAAAAACCAGAAACAGATGGATGGAGAGGTGGAAAACACTCCAGAAAGAAGAAAAACGGATTTTAAAAAAGCCCCAGAAGCAGCTGGATGGAAAGGTGGAAAACACACCAGAAAGATAAAAAACTGAGTTATAAAACACCCCTAGAAGTAGCTGGATGGAGAGGTGGAAGATGCTCCAGAAAGATGAAAAACTGAGTTTAAAAAACACCCCAGAAGTAGAGAGGTAGAAAAAAACACTCTAGAAAGATAAAGAACAGGAAAAACCCCAAACAACCAGAACTGGCACATGAGTGCATGAGGCTGAGAAAAAACCTCAGCAGAAATACCAGAAATGTGGCAAACCAGAGCAGTTCCCTCAGGGATAAAATAAAATCAAATCTCCCTGGAAGTGGGTGTTTGGAGGAGCACAGACTGGTCAGAGCAGTTTAACCCTCACCACGTGAGCACAGGGGCAGCGCACACACCTTCAGCTGAAAAGGGGTTAAAAATTCTCGTCTGGATCTTGTGCATTTGTGTCTTTAATGCCTCAGCTCTCTCTGGAGGTAGCTCAGTGCCAAATACAAGGTGGTGCTGATTTCCTCAGAGCTACTGCAATTCAAATAATAATTAGCACTGCTGCAGGGTCATTGTCTCACTGCCAGCGAGCCTTGACCTGGGGTTTTTAGTTCTGTGGCAGAATGTTGAGGAATCCTTGGGGGAAGCCTGGCCCAGGTGGAAACGTGAGTTACTTGTGTTAGGGGTGTGTGTGAGGGGTTCTGGCAGTCCCTTCTTTGAAGGAAAGAAGGGGGAAATAAAAGAGGGGAAAAGGCTCTGCAGCCTTTTAGGGAGGAAAAACCCCAATTAGAAGGTGATTGCTGCCAATGCCCTGGCACTGCCCACCCGGAGTGATGCCCTGCTCCCCTCCACTCCCAGCTGCCAGCGCAGTTCTGGAGCCGGGGACAAGGACAGGGGCCCCATTCCCTCCCCTGCAGGCACAGACCAGACCAACACTGCAGGCTCAGGTTTATTGCAGAGCTCAAGAGGAGGGGAACGCTCAGCCCACGGCTGCAGAGGGGCAGCAGCTGCTGCTTCTCTCCCTCCCCACACCTTCCAGGGGCAATTCTGGGCCAACAGCTCAGGAGCCGCAGCTCCGAGGGCAGGAGGAGCAGGAGCTGAGGTCCTGCTGTCATCCCCAGCACAGGCACATCCCTCCCTCCATCCCCAGGGCTGTTTCCTTGCTCATTCTCCCTGGGTTGCAGCTGCTGCAGGAGGGGACAGGATGGGGCAGCCCCAGCTCCTCTGGGACAGGGGGATGTGGGGCTGGAGGGGCTCTCCACAGCCCCCAGGAGAGCCCAGCTTGTGTCCCCCATCCCATGGATGCCTTTCCCCAGTGCATTCCAGCAGATTCTGGAATTCTACTACTACTGGGGTTCTCTGACCATTAGTGGGGAGTTGGAGAAAACAGCAGCAGGGCTACAGGGCAAGGAGGAAGGCACTTGGCTCCTGGGAGGTGAGAGAAGCTGTAAATCCCAGGGGACACATCCCTGGGGCTCTGGATCCTGTCCAAACACCCAGTTCCATCCTTTTCCTCACCACCTCTCCCTGGTGGCTGTGAGAGCACAGTGCTGCATTCCCACCTCTCCCTGGTGCCATCTCCAGGGCACAGTGCTGCATTTCCCTGGTGCCATCTCCAGAGCACAGTGCTGTGTTTCCATCCCTCCCTGGTGCCAGCTCCAGGACACAGTGCTGCATTTCCCTGGTGGCATCTCCAGGGCACAGTGCTGCATTTCCCTGGTGGCAGCTCCAGGGCACAGTGCTGTGTTTCCCTGGTGGCATCTCCAGGGCACAGTGCTGCATTTCCACCTCTCCCTGGTGCCATCTCCAGGGCACAGTGCTGCATTTCCCTGGTGCCATCTCCAGGGCACAGTGCTGTGTTTCCATCCCTCCCTGGTGCCATCTCTAGGGCACAGTGCTGCATTTCCCTGGCTCTCCTGCCCCCTGCTCTCCCCTCTGCTGCCCCTTGCTGTGCCCAGCCTGGCCCTGCAGCCGGGGCCCTGCAGCCATCCCTGCTCTGCCCTGCAGTCTGTGGGCTCTGGTGCACAAGGGAAGGGAGGGAGGAGAGGCAGGCTCGGGGCAGAGGTGGCATCTCCTGCTCCCTGCTCAGCAGGAGCTCTACAGAAGCAAAGCAAACTCAGCTGCTTCTCTGGTGGCCGGGGGAGCTGCAGGAGCAGTTCAGCTGCTGGGATCACAGCCCGGGCAGTTCTCCAGGCAGGGGATGACGGCTGGGCTTGGCTCTCTGCCGCCGGTGCAGCCACAGCCCCATGAAAGCAGCGGCCAGGACAGCACAGCCCGCCAGGGCCCCCAGCAGGATGGGCAGCAGCGTGGCAGGAGCAGCACCTGGACACACAGAGAGGCAATGGAGCAGTGAGAAATGTTCTTTGCACAAACAAGCACAGCCACAGGGAGTTAGGGATGGTGCAAGCAGGTTTTGAGAAGTCTCTCATATTTTACCAGCTCTTTTCTAATAGCTACAAACATCTAATGAACATCACCAGCTTCTGTGTTTCACCTATGAACAGTCCTGTCCCATGGACGCCCTCATTCTGCACGCTGCAATTCCTCACAGACAGAACATTCTGCCTCATTTTCTCCCCTTCCCTCCTCCTAAAGCTGGAGTTCCTCACAGGGGCCTTTGGAGCTCTGTTGGATGTGGCACTGATTAACCCCCACATCTGGGATCCAGGGAGGCCAAAGCAAAGTCAGGAGTTGTTGGGATATAACCTAACCAAGAAAGTGATTAAAAATGTCCTGGTTTTCCTACAGCAGGAAAAGCTGAGCAAAAACCTCTGCGAGAGAAATGAAACCAGGAGAGCCCCACCTTCCTCTGGCTTGTACAGAAACCTGTTGTTCATCCTCCAAACGGGCCCGAGGGAGACCAGCCTGTGCAGGTTTCCATGGCTGGTCCTGTCACTGGGCTGGGCAAGGGGCTCCACACTTTCCAAGCAGTCCTGGGAAAGAGATGGAAACACCTGGGAGTGCCCTGGACAGAACCTCCTGCCCCAGGCCCTCCTTAGTCCTTTCCACTTCTGTTACTGTTCCAAAAGGTGAATTTCCAATCCTTGGACCAGCACATGTGTAAATCTTTATTCCCTGATTTCCTTTTCTCAGGGATTACCAACTATTGCCACCCTTCCACACCATGAACTCCTCTCCCAGACTTTAACCAGGGATTGGCCATGGGGTGACCTTGGTGTGGAGGCTCTGGAAGCACCGAGTGCCTCCTGATCTGGTGGGATCCCTGCTGCTCCTGTGGGAGCAGATCCCCCCTCAGTACCTGCTCACATCCTGGCTGGCCGGGCAGGCAGACCCTCAGCTCGCAGTGCAGGTAGGCCACGGAGTGGTTCAGCATCTGGAACAGCTGGATGGAGAAGCTGGTGGCCCTGGAGCTGCCACCCTCCAGCAGCTGGATGTGTCTGCACTCCAAGGGCAGCCTGGCAGGGGCAAACAGCAAACAGCTCCAGATCCCAGCACAAACTGCACAGCCCAGCCCTGCAGCCCTGTCTGAGGGGCAGGAAAATCCAGCAACAGCAGCGTTCCCTGCTGGAGCTGCCCTGCTCAGAGCCCCGAGCAGCAGAGCTGTTTTGGGATGTTGGTTTTGCTGTGGTGTGTCCAGCACCCCCTGAGGGTTCACAAACCTCGGGCAATGGCCCTCCCGTGTCCCTGGGGGCTGAAATAAATGGGATGTGAGGTTCCAAATGGCTGGGGTGTGCCTCCCCAGCAGGAAGGGGATGCTGCACCTCTGGGACAGCCCCTGGGGGACACCCCCGGGGTGGGTTATTTCCATAAATCCTAAACAAAGGGGGGAAGAGTTCCCCATTCCCACCTGCGGAAGAGGCAGCACTGAGCCCCCGCAGCCCCTGGGGGGAGCGGGATGGGTTATTTCCACAAACCCTTCACAAAGGGAGGAGTTCCCCATTCCCACCTGCGGAACAGGCAGCACTGAGCCCCCGCAGCCCCGGGGCTGGCCGAGGGGGTCACGCAGCACGAGTGGAGCTGCAGCAGGGCCCGGCTGCTGTCGCTCTGCAGGGCCACCAGAGCCACGAAGGTGTCGTGGGGCTGCTCCGAGCGCGGCTCCCCGGGGGCTGCGGGGCTCAGGCTCAGCCGCACCGAGTGGTTCCCGACGCCGCACGAGTCGCTCACGACGGCGAGCCTGGGGACAAAGGGGAAAAGGGAATAGGATGAAAGGGAATAGCATGGAAAAGGGAATAGGATGAAAGGCAGGCAGGCAGCAGCAGGCAAAGGGAGCCAGCCCGGGGTACTTGCCCGTCCAGCGCGGTCGCATCCGAGCGCAGCCCCCTGCTCTGGTGCCAGTCGCTCCGCAGCGCTCCGGGCTCCGGGGTCACCGCTGTCCCCAAGGCTTCA